AGTATTATTAAGTAACTTGTGATAACTGATGATTCCAAAGCAAACGACAGGTAGAAATGGCTTTCGTTATGTGTCATTTTTAACAAAAATATTAATCTTTAAGCTGCATTATCCAGTGCTATACGCATAAATCTAAATATTGTCATATAAACTTAATTAGTTGTGGCTGAACAGTGACTTTTGACTCTGCAGGAAGCCTTTTTACCACGGGGCGTTTTCCCTAAACAGCATTGACGTTTCATTCTGGCTCCTGATCAAGAAAATGACAGTTAAGAATAATTAGCTGATGGATTCGGGGGCTGGCCGGGCTCCTCTAATGCAGCTAGCATCACGCACCGTGCACTGTGCTGAACAAACCAGAATGAAGATAAAAGATTGATTTTTAGGCCGTAAAGCATCATTTGCTACTGTCAACTTGCTGCTGAGTTACAACTCTTCTGCAGCCCCCACATTGCAGCCAGAGTCGAGCTGGTGTTCTGGAGAGCTGTTAGCAAAAGGGACAAAGGAGAGTTTGGGGATTAAAAAAAAAGGGTCGTTTTCATCATGTGCTCATGCTACTGTGGCAAAAAGGAACCTGAGAGCTGAAATATGAAGAGCAATGGTGGTTATTCCCAATAAAGGGCTCACACAAGTAAGCAAAAAAGAATAATCTCACATAAGTACTCAAAACATCCCCCAAAATTCCCAGAAATTAAAGTAATTCCAGATAAAAGCTATTGCTTATTTCCCTAATTTTGTGCAAAAACTCAATTCTCAGAGTAAATAACCTGGTTTCTATGTCTATTTGCTCAAACCGTGTACATTTGTCATTAGCTACGGTTAGAACTGGGCTTTAGTTCCTCCCTTTAGCTTTGTATGCTAACACATAATTGTCCTCTTGATCTACTCTGGTTTATTCTCAGGCTTCCAGCTAAAGAATGTGGCTAACAATAAATACAGAAATCTGTGGAAATCTTTGCTCAAACCGTGTATATTTGTCATTAGCTACGGTTAGAACTGGGCTCCCTTTAGCTTTGTATGCTAACACATAATTGTCCTCTTGATCTGCTCTGGTTTTTTCTCAGACTTCCAACTAAAGAATTGGGCTAACAATGTATATTTGTCATTAGCTACGGTTAGAACTGGGCTTTAGTTCCTCCCTTTAGCTTTGTATGCTAACACATAATTGTCCTCTTGATCTACTCAGGTTTGTTCTCAGGCTTCCAGCTAAAGAATCTGGCTAACAATAAATACAGAAATCTGTGGAAATCTTTGCTCAAACGAATCGGGCTAACAATGTATATTTGTCATTAGTGTTAGAATTGGGCTATAATTACTTACTTTAGCATAACATGCTATAA